GGGACATAAAATGATACTCGTGAAGAGTATGCTGCTTAGCTCAAGTAGATACATGAGAGTAAATGGGCAGCTCCTGTCCAGAGGCGAGATGAGAAGGCAGAGAGGGTCAGGAGCTGGCTGGATGGACACGGGAAATCCGGGGTGGAAAGGAGGAGTGTGCTGTCACAGTATAGGGAGAGCAACTATGGTCACATAACAGTGTATTTCTAAATTTTTGTATGAGAGACTAACTTGAATTGTAAACTTTCACTTAAAGCACAACAATGAAAAAATAATAATTAAAAAAAATTTTTTTAAAAAAAGCTCAAGGTGAAGCTGAAGAAAACACAAGTCCATGAGAGTCAAAATATGACCTTGAGTATATCCCACCTGAATTTAAAGACCATCTCAAGAACAAATTTAATGCACTGAACACTAATGACCAAAGACCAGAAGAGTTGTGGGATGACATCAAGGACAGCATACATGACAAAAGCAAAAGGTCATTTAAAGACAGGAAAGGAAAAACAAACCAAAATCGATGTCAGAAGAGACTCCAAAACTTGCCCTTGAGCACAGAGTAGCTAAAGCAAATGGAAAAAAATGACGAAGTAAAAGAGTTGAACAGAAGATTTCAAGGGGCAGCTCGAGAAGACAAGGGTAAAGTATTATAGTGAAATGGGGAGTTAGAAAACCAAAAAGGAAGATGCTCGGCAGTTTTCAAGCTGAAAAAACTAAAGGAAAAATTCAAGACTCAAGTTGCAATATTGAAGGATTCTAATGGTCAAATAATTGAATGATGCAGGAAGCATCAAAAGAAAGAATACACAAAGTCAGTGTACCAAAAAGAATTGGTCGACCTTTAACCATTTCAGGAGGTAGCATATGATCGAGAAACGATGGTACTGAAGGCATTGGCAAAAAACAAAACTCCGGGAATTGACAGAATACCAGTTGAGATGCTTCAACAAACAGATGCCGTGTTCGAAGTGCTTGCTCATCTATGCCAAGAATTTAGAAGACAAGCTTCCTGGCCAGCCAACTGGAAGAGATCTGTATTCATGCCCATTGCAAAGAAAGGTGATCTAATGAAATGAGGAAATTATTGAACAATATCATATATCGCATACAAGCAAAATCTTTAGTTTGGCTTCTGGGTTCTTTTGATATGAACTTAGTAGTTATTGGAAACCCTGGTGGCGTAGTGGTTAAGTGCTATGGCTGCTAACCAAAAAGTCAGCAGTTTGAATCCACCAGATGCTCCTTGGAACCTATGGGACAGTTCTACTCTGTCCTTTAGGGTTGCTATGAATCAAAATCGACTTGACGGCAATGGGTTTGGTTTTTTTTTTTTTTATTAATAGTCATTGATAGATTCCTTGCTACCTAAGATGTTAAAATTCCAGATTTATTTCAGCATTTTTTGCCCCAGCCCTGGAGTCAGCAGTTTATCCAAGAAGTTCTGTTCCCTTTGAGGGAACTGGTATTTAGGGACCACACTTGGGTGCTAGGAGTACTCTTTGCTACTGGGTTGGACATAGTTTCTGTGTCTTTTCAGTAGACAGAGATAGCAAGTATAATTTATTTTGTCTTAAACACACACACACACACACACACACACACATATATTCTGATACTTTGACTTCAGATTCAGGACTAAAAGATTTGTATTTAAGGTCTCAGTCTTACGCCTTTATCTTCTTTCTCCCATACTGAGAATTCCAGATCACAATGACCCTGGGAATGATAGAATAATACCTACTAATCACTCATTAGCTTCATTCCACAATATACATACAATAATCCCAGAATATAAATAACAATACCTTCTCCAATATTAGAATTACTAAAAACAGTTTAAGCTTTTTTTTTAAGGATATAGCCCACTAAGAATGGACAGTCAAATTACTGTTTTAAAGTTTTTTGGAATAGTTCCTCATTTTGTGATTAGGCTACCAACGAGGTACACGTTTTGTTTATTTTCTTTCATTTCCGAATTTCTTATGGATTAGGTTTTAATACTTTGTTTTATAATTATGTAAAATATTTTCCTGGTTCCATGGTCAAATCTATAAAACAGAGTATATTCAAAGATGCCTGTCTATAACCTCAACTGTCTTCTCTCTCCTTGTATAACTTAAAAAAAAATTGGTTAATATTTCCATTTTTAAAAATGTAACTGGATATATGTGTGTATATTTGTATCCTCCTCTTTCTTTTATTTTTTAATATTTGTTGTTGAGAATATACACAGCAAAACGTACACCAATTCAACTGTTTCTGCATGTACGGTTCATTGATATTGATTGCATTCTTCTAGTTGTGCAACCATTCTCACTTTCCTTTTCTAAGTTGTTCCTCCTCCATTAACATAAACTCATTGCCCCCTAAAGTTCCTGTCTAATCTTTTGAGTTGCTGTTGTCGCTTTGATCCCATATAGATAGTTCTTAAAAGAGCATAATGCTCAAGGCAGACATTTTCTTACTAGTTAAGCTAAACTCTTGTTTGGTTTTAAGAAGACTTCAGGGGATATTTTTGGCTTAAGTTTTAAAGATTATCTCAGGGCAATAGTTTCCAGGGTTCATCCAGCCCCCTTGACTCTAGAAAGTCTAGAGTCCATGAGAATTTGAAATTCTGTTCTGCATTTTCCACCTTTTGATCAATATTCTTCTATAGAATCTTTGATCAAAATGTTCAGTAATAATAGCTGGGCACCATCCAGTTGTCTGCACTAATGGCAAAGGAGGCAGTTATTCATAGAGTTAATTAGCCACACATTCCATATCCTCCTCCTATTCCTAACTCTCCATTTTCTGTTGCTCCAGGCAAATAGAGACCGATTGTTGTGCCTTAAATGGCCACTTCCAAGCTTTTAAGACCCCAGGCGCTGTGCAAGGGACTAGGAAGTAGAACAGAAGCACTAAACATGTTATTAGGCCAATTAACTGGGATGTCCTATGAAACCCTAACCCTAAACCTCCAAACCAAGGTACACAAGCAGCCTCAGCAGCTACTGCTTTGTTGTTGTAGTAAATATATCTATTACACAACTTTTGCCAGTTCAACTTTTTATAGATGTACACCTTACTGACAGCAATTATAATAATTGGCTGTGCAACCCTAGTCTTAATGCAGTGTTTTCATCACTGTTAAGCCCTCCTTTCCCCCTCCCTCCCACCCCTGGTAACCACTGATAAACACTTGTCTTTATACATTTGCGTTGTCTTTTTATATAAGTGAGGTTGTATAATATTTTTCCTTTTGTGACTGACTTACCAGTATTTCATAAGAAAGAAAGTACCTACTGAAAGACCCAGAATTTTCTTGAGACATGTTCATACCATAATTAAAATAATACTTGAGAATTATTCTGATAGACGTGTGTAGGATTATTTGGAGAGATCAGAAGTGGAGGTTGGTGATACCAGCTGAAAGGTTGCCATGTTAACATAATTTGTTAACTGATTTAAAATTTAATGTGAACGAAGTGTGAAATGATGAGTTTCTTGACATAAAGATAAACATTTCAATATTCGAATATATCTACTTAAAAATGCACAGGAATGAAGTGGCAGGCCCTCCCAGTCCTACCAATATTTATATTATTTAATAGTGTTCAGAATGTTTGTATTATAACACTTTTAAGATAGGAACAAAATATTGTATTTTATTATCCCCATAACTTGTGTTTGAGGTGTGGGTGAGAAAGGGAGAAACAGTGCATATTGTGTACAAGTCTTGTGTTCCTTTTGTCTATTCTAAACAGCTGCTAAGATCCATTCTGAAAGATCCTTATATTCGTTTCTTACGGCTGCTGTAACAGATTACTACAAACTTGGTGACTTAAAACTACAAGTTTATTCTGTCACAGTCCTGGAGTCCAGAAGTCCAAAGTCAGTATCACTGGGCTCAAATTAAGGTGTCAGCAGGGCCGCGGGCCCTCCCTCTCTCTAGGGAAGAATTTGTTCTTTACCTCTTCCAGCTTCTGGTGGATGCCAAAATTCCTAAGTTTGTGGCTGTATCACTCCAATCTGTGCCACCATGGTCACATTGCCTTCTCTTGTGTGTGTGTCAGATCTTCCTCTCTTTCCCTCTTATGAGGAGACGTGATTGCATATAAGGCCCACTTGGAATAATCCAGGATAATCTCCCTATCTCAAAATCCTTAATTTAATCCAGGGCTTTGAACCAGTTCATTCAAGTTTTAACTCCTGCTGAGAAATTTGCATTTCTAATAAGTTCCCAGCTGATGCTAATGATTCCACCCCCAGATGTACTGAATCAGAATCTACATTTTAACAAGATCCCCAGGTGATTTTTCTGTATAAGAATAGGTGTCAGTGGGGATTGTTATGGATTGAGTTGTGTCCCCCAAAAATGTTTGTCAACTTGGCTAGGCTATAATTCCCAGTATTGTGTGGTTGTCCTCCATTTTGTGATCTGATGTAATTATCCTGTGTGTTGTAAATCCTAACATCTGTGATGTTAATGAGGCAGGATTAGAGGCAGTTATGTTAATGAGGCAAGACACTATCTGCAGGATTAGGTTGTATCTTGAGTCAGTCTCTTTTGAGATATAAAAGAGAGAAACGAGTAGAGAGAGAAGGGACATCCTACCACCAAGAAAGACGAGCTGGGAGTGGAACATGTCCTTTGCACCTGGGTTCCCTACACTAAGAAACTCCTAGGCCCAGGGAAGATTGATGACAAAGACCTTCCCCCAGAGCTGACAGAGAGAGAAAGCCTTCCTCTGGAGCTGGCGCCCTGAGTTTGGACTTCTAGCCTCCTAGACTGTGAGAGAATAAATTTCTGTTTGTTACAGCCATCCACTTGTGGTACTTCTGTTATAGCAGCACTAGATAACTAAGACAGGGATCTTGTTTAAAATGTAGATTCTGATTCAGTACATCTGGAGTGGAATCATTAGCATTAGCTGGGAACTTGTTAGAAATGTGAATTTCTCAGCAGAAGTTCAAACCAGGACGAACTGGTTCAAAGCCCTGATTTAATCACATCTACAAAGTTCTTTTTTGCCATATAAAGTAATATTCACAGGTTCCAGGGATTAGGATGTGGATGTCTTTTGGGGACCATTATTCAGCGTACCACAGACCTTACTGCCTGTTCACTCGTTCTTCTTTTTTTCTGTCTCATCCTTTTTCTTCTGTCCTATTTTTATTCTTTTTTATCTTCAGAAGCACAGAGTAGCAAATAGATTGGGTGTGTATGATCTGAATATGTGATCAGGAGTTGAGTGGATATGGTACGGGTCAGTAAGTGAGCCTTATTGTCCTCACTATCCTATTATGTTCACAATAACTTTTTGTTGTTGTTGAATTGACAGTAATAGTATCTTTGTTAATTTTCAACACCCTTTATCAAAGCAATTATTGACTTTTGGATTTAAGTATTTGTGTTAATATTATGAAATTTCTTTCAGATTTAAAGCATTTGTTGATTAGGTTGGCAGGCATTGATATTGAGAAAATAGCTAAATAGCTACTAGCATTGTTTCAAAATTAATTTTACTTTAAGTGAGTTTTCTTTTTCTTTTCATATTTGTATTTTATTTCAGTGATAGCTCAGACTTGAATTTAATGAAGGGAAACAGAATGGAAGAGTTGGCAGAGTCTCATCCAAAAGTCCACTGTTGAGAGACCTATGAGTTTTGGGCAAACAACAACATTTTGGGCCGCAATTTTCTACAATCTATAATAAAGGAGTTGAATTATGTGATTGGTAAATTCCCTTCTAACTCTGAAAGCTGCTGTTCTGGTATTTAGTATAAGGGATTTAAAAACCAACAAACAGTCAGACAAACAACAAATATGATCTAATTTGAACTATTTAGGGAAAAAAATCATATTGGCAAGATTTTTTTGAAATAACTGTGCTTTTTTTTTTTCCTTTTATAGATGGACCACACATCCCCGACCTACATGCTTGCTAACTTAACCCACTTACATTCTGAGCAACTTCTGCAGGGCTTGAATCTTCTTCGTCAACATCATGAACTCTGTGACATCATTCTTCGAGTAGGTGATGTTAAAATTTATGCTCACAAAGTGGTACTTGCCAGCATCAGCCCATATTTCAAAGCCATGTTCACTGGAAACCTTTCTGAAAAAGAGAACAGTGAAGTTGAGTTTCAGTGCATTGATGAAACTGCTCTCCAGGCCATTGTGGAATATGCCTATACAGGGACTGTTTTTATTTCTCAGGACACAGTTGAATCTCTCCTTCCAGCAGCAAACCTACTCCAGATAAAACTTGTCCTGAAAGAATGTTGTGCATTTCTTGAAAGCCAACTTGATCCTGGTAACTGTATTGGAATTTCTCGATTTGCAGAGACGTATGGTTGTCATGACCTTTATTTGGCAGCCACTAAGTATATATGCCAGAATTTTGAAGCTGTTTGCCAGACTGAAGAGTTTTTTGAGTTAACCCATGCTGATTTGGATGAAATTGTTTCCAATGACTGTTTGAATGTAGCTACTGAAGAGACTGTTTTTTATGCACTAGAGTCTTGGATTAAGTATGACGTACAAGAACGCCAGAAATACTTAGCACAGCTACTTAACAGTGTGCGATTACCATTGCTGAGTGTTAAGTTTCTCACTAGACTATATGAAGCAAATCATCTTATTCGTGATGATCGTACTTGTAAACATCTTTTGAATGAAGCCCTAAAGTACCACTTTATGCCTGAACATAGACTCTCTCATCAGACAGTCTTGATGACACGACCTCGCTGTGCTCCCAAAGTACTTTGTGCAGTAGGAGGAAAATCTGGACTGTTTACTTGTTTGGATAGGTAAATGGAAGGCTTTTTAAACAAATCGATGCTAATAAGTTTTATGCTTTTTTTTTTTTTATTGTTGTTGTCACAAATATACACAGCAAAACACACACCAGTTCAATTGTTTCTACATGTACAATTCAGTGACATTGATTACAGTCTTTGAGTTGTGCAGTTTTATCCTTTTTACGTGTGATAATTCTCCATATTTTTGAAATAGTTTGATTTTCTTTATTTGCTTCTCCTCCCCACCCCCTTCTCTGTTTTTTCTCTACCTAAAACACTTACCTGGTTGTTTTAATCATACTGTCATCCATTCTCTCAAAAACATTTAATCATTAACTTCCTACCCCCAACACATGCCTCTTTATCCATCTTCTTTACTCACTAGCTTTTCTTCCATTTTATGTCTTTTTTCCCCCTGTCTTCGTGGGAAATCATTTACATCTTTATTTGAGTCAGACTAGGTTAGAGAAGATTTATTATTGACCATCTATATCAGAATATGTTAAAAAGGAGAGCTAGGAACCTGTGATATGGGTAGACTGGGGACAAGAATGGGTTTGACTGAAAACAGCAAATTAGAAGTACCACTAAAGAAATGAGAAAAAAAATAGGATAAAGATATAAATCATGGACTTTTGTGCAGTTTTTTTTTTTTTTCACTGTAAATATTTTTTAAGGACACTAGTATATTGCTTTACTTTCTAATAACTTAGAGCAAAGTTGTTAAACTTTTTCTAAAGGGGCCAAATAGTAAATATTTTATACTTTGTGGGCCATATGTTTTCTGTTACAACTACTCAGCTCTGCCATTGTAGTGAGGACTAGTCACAGAAAATACATAAATGAATGAATGTGGCTGTGTTCCAATAAAACTTTATTCACAAAAATAGTAGGTTGAATTTGGCCCATGACCATAGTTTGTTAACCTATGATTTAGAGCATTATGTAAGTAACTTTTGTACATTGAAAATATAGCTTTGCTTTCCCCTCGCATCAGATTGCTTCAATTTGTTTGATGTATTTATATGATACTGTGGACTTCTTTCTGACCATTTTCAAAAATTTGGTAGATTGCTTTCCTCTCACTCCAGTGTAGGACACTTATTGATGTCTTATCAGTGGCAACTTTTTAAAAGTCTGACTATACATTTCAATTGTAGTATAAAGCTACTGTTGTTGAGATTGACCTATAGGTAGAACATTAGTTATGGTGGCTACATGAAGTGATTGTTGAACTCTCATTCTTAAAGGCATTGGTTATTGGCATCTTACTTCTTTAGTCAAATGTCATAATAAAAAAAGTTCCAAATGAGTTCACATTGTAAAGATTTTTGAGCAGTTGCTTCTTAGTCTCTCAAGTATGAAAAATAACAAACAAATAATTGATGAGTCATAAGAACTGTTCATTTCTTTTTATCTATTAATCTTACATCTTGCCGGAGCCCTGATGGCACACTGGTTAAGAGCTCGGCTGCTAACCAAAAGGTTGGCAGTTTGAATACGTCAGCTGCTCCTTGGAAACCCTGTGAGGCAGTTTTACTCTGTCCTGTAGGGTTACTGTGAGTCAAAATTTACTCGACGACAGTGGGTTTGGTTTGGGTTTTGGGGGTTTAGGGAAGATACTGTGGAGAAGATAATGTTCAAATTAGATGTTGAAAGCTAAGCAAGAGCCAAGTGATGGAAGATGGGAAGGTCATAGGAAATGGGCAAAAACAGAATGACATGATACAGTATAGAGTATGTAAGAAGCTGAAAGCTATTTAGTATTCCGTTGTACGAAGTTCTAACCAGCAAGTGCAGGCAATGGCTGGTATGGGCCATGTCATAGAAGGTATTGTATGCCATGCTAAAGAGAGGATTTTTATTGTGTGGTTGCAAAACTGTTTTAAGGAAGATAGTGAAGTGAAATGTAAAATAAAAGGGTCCAGGGTTAGCCTCATAGTAAGCAGGTAATTAGGTAAGAGGTTATTGTAAAAGTCTAGGCAAGAGATTATGAGGTCCTGAATTAGAGAAGAGGTAGTAAAGATAGAGACTGGGACTTAATTTAAGAAATGTTGTAAGAGAGTAAATTGACAGGATTTGGTGTTTGAATGGATATAGCATGGGGTTGGGGAGAAGTGGTGAGGGAGAGGGAAGAATCAAGATGAGTCAGATTTTTTAATTAGATGATTGGGTTGATGTTTATACCATTAACAGAGAGAATATGGGAGGAGGAGCCATTTTAAGTGGGAAGATAATATGTTTAGTTTTGGACATAATGAATTTGAAGTGCCTATAAATACCCGAGTAAAGGATATCCTATTGCTAGCTGGATATGAGTTTGAAGCTCAAAAGAAGAGATCAGGGCTGGAGATTTAGAAGCCATCAGCAAATAGTGTAATTTAGAGGTATAAATTAAAACCATGAAGTCTTCCATGAACTTCCTGACTGATTTAAATGTCCCTCCTCTCTGCCTAGTGAGAACATATAGAAAAAGAATTGATTCATGTGTGAAACTCTGGGGAGCAATAATATTCAAGATGAGGGCAGCAGGAATGATCTCAGAGGTAGGAGAACCAAGAGAGAATAATGTCATGAAAGCCAAGGAATTTAAGTGTGTCAAGAAGGCAGGAGTGTGATCAACAATGTAAAGTTCAATGAAAAGGTCCAGAAAGATAAGGCTGGAAAGGTGGCTATTAGATTTGCAGTATGGAGATCATTAATGACCTTTGGTGGCATAATTTCACCAGAGTTGTGGGCATGCTGAAGATAGATTACAGCAGTTGAGAAGTGAACAAAAAGTAAGGAAAAAGAGACTGAATGAAGATTAACCTTTTAACGGTTTTGACTGAGAGAGAAAGAAGAGCGATAAGGCAGATTTTGTTGGGTTTTATTTTGTTTTTGGAAGGAGAAGCATGAGTATATTTATAAGCAGATGCCCATAAAGAGGGATACTGTGAAGATAAAGGATAGAGAAATGGTCATTGATAGAGCAAGATCTCAGAGGAAATAGATGATATCAAAAGCAAAAGTAGAAGGTTATGGATAGGAGGAAGAGGAACTCTTTATGCCCTGAGATAGGAATATGAAGGTAGGCTTACTGGTGGAGGGAGGAGTGGAGGCAGGAATTTAAGATAGATGTTGTTAACAGCCTCAGTTTTTGCCTTTAACTAGGAGAGGATGTTTTTTAGAGAGGGAAGTAGGGATTGGATAGGTGGCTTAAGGAAAGTGGGGAAACTCTAAGAACAGTATTGTTTCTACTTACACAAAAGGAGTCATAGGGTGGCAATACATTGAAAGCACTTTTGTATAATTGTGCAAATACATTAAATGTACCTTTGAACTGGAGTCCCTGGGTGCACAAACAGTTAAGCACTCGACAACTAGCCGAAAAGTTGGCAGTTCACAACCACCCAGAGGTGCCTTGGAAGACAGGACTGGTGAACTGCTTCCGAAAGGTCACAGCCTTGAAAACCCTATGGAGCACACGTGGGGTCGCCATGAGTTGGAAATGACTTGACAGCAGCTAACAACAATAACCTTTAAACCTGTGGTATCATAACATCACTCGCCTCAGCACTATAAACCATGAGTCTCATTCCAAGAAAGCAGCTGTAATTAGAACTGATGACCCGCTTGCCCCCAAAAGATCACAAGAATTAGTGCCTTTATAGCTTGTATCTCTGTTTACCTAAATCGTCTCCACGAATTATGACTTCTGGTTAATCCATCATCATAATGTGGACTCTTATTATCATATGATCTTGTATATCATCTAATTTGATTTAATCTGTCAACTTTTTTTTTTTTTTTTTTTGTCTTCCCAATTCCTTCTGCCATGTCCTCTGGAACTCATATTCTATCATAAGAAAAATCCCATTTGTCCTCACCCTCTTGTTCTAATGAAATATGGCTGATGCACGAAAGTGTTATCTTTTCCCCTCACATTTCATTTATCACAGGTCCTACAGGTTAGGTAGGTTTTTTTTTGTTTGTTTTGTTTTGTTCCTCTTTCAGTTTTGTTCCCCCCTCCCTCTCATTTCAAGCATTTGCCATCATGCTGTATCACTTGCTACCTCTTCTTGTTGCCATCATCTGCTGTCCTTTTGTTATTTCATTTATTGAAGATTTTATAGCTGGCTCAATTGTTTTTCTTATCATTGTACATCAGCCATCATTCTTGGTGATTTCAATATCCACGTAGATCTTTTATCTGTCCTCTCCTCTTTGACCTCATTTCCAGCAATATTTTCTGATTTATGTTAGGCACCTTGTCCCATGATCATACCCTCAACTTTGCCATTACCAATAATTTCATTACATTAAAAATCTTGGTTTCACACATTCCATTCTCTGACCACTACCTCTTTTCTTGTTACCTTATTTATTCCAGTAGACCCACTCTAACAATTCTTTGTTCCTTCAGGACTTTTAATCTGTTGACCCTAAACTCAGCAGAACTGACTGCTTATCAGCCTTCATATGTCCTCACCTGCACTCCTTACCCAGCTTAAATTCCAGGAACATCACTGTCGTTATTCCTTTGAGTACACTCGTGGGTCCCTTGTCCTTTCCTCTCTCTCCCATCATACTCATCTAGTTAAATTCGCCCCTTCATTACTGCACCCGAGTAGTGGAATGTGGCTAGAGAAGCACATAAACCTATCCTGTCTGGTCTCACTTGGGGCCCTCAGCACTGCCCAGCAATCTGTCTACGTTTTTCTTAATCAATTTACCCTTTCACTTTCTAGGATTGTTTTCCCACCTCCTACTCTCTTCTTAAAAACATCCAAAACACCTTCCCATCACCTTCTAAGCCTCAGCTAAAGACCTTGTCTCATTCTACTGAGAAAATAGAAGCATCATTAAATCTGTCAAGGTACCTGCATCTGTACCCATATTCTGCCTTCCCTCTTTAGTGAACATGAATGAGCTGAGCCTATTTCCATTTAAGGCCAACTCCTCAAGTTCCCTGCTTGTTCACTAGATTCCATACCTTCTCTGCGCAAGGACTTTACTTTTACAGGTATCCCTTCTCTCATATATCATCACCTTCTCTCACTGGACTCCATTATTGCTATCAGGATACAAACATACTCTGGTTTAAGTTTCTGGATTAAATTCATCTCCTCAGGACCCCATGGTCTCGTCTCCACTTTATAGCTACCTCCTCATATCTATCTTTCTTTTTATAGTAAAAATCCTTGGAAAAGTTGTTTAAACCCATTGTTTTCACTTGCTCAACTCCCATTCTCTTTTAAACCGCTCCAGTCAAGATATGCCCCACCACCTCACTGAAACTGCCCTTACTACAGTCAAATTGCTCCCTGATATATCAGTCTCATTGCAACAAATTCATGTTTTCAGAACAAACATTGGAACAAAACTGACAGGAATAGGCATTCAGTAACTTTAAAGTCTTCATGTGCCCTTTTATAAATTTTATTTATTTTTATTTTTTCCCATACAAAAATTTATACATACATTGTTATGTGACTCTAATTGCTCTCCCCGTATTGTGACAGCACACTCCTCCTTTCCATCCGATTCCCCATGTCCATTCACCCAGCTCCTAACCCTCTCTGCCTTCCCATCTCACCTCTAGACAGAAGCTAAACGTTTAGTCTCTTGTATCTACTTGAACTAAGAGGCACACTCCTCATGAGTATCACTTTATGTCCCACAGTCAAGTCCAATCCCTGTCTGAAGAGTTGGACTTGGAAATGGTTTTAGTCTGTGCTGATAGAGAATCCGGGGGCCATGCTTTCTGGGGTACCTCCAGTCTCAGTTGGACCATTAAGTCTACTTACTAGAATTTGAGTTCTGCACCCCACCTTTCTCCTGCTCCATCCGGGACTCTGTTGTGTTCGTTTTCAGGGCGGTCATTGGTGGTAGCCGGGCACCACCTAGTTCTTCTGGTCGTAGGCTGATGAAGTCTCTGGTTTATGTGGCCCTTTCTGTCTCTTGGGCTACTACTTTCCTTGTGTCTTTGGTGTTCTTCATTCTCCTTTACTCCAGGTGGTTGGGACCAATTGATGCATCTCAGATGGCCCCTTGCAAGCTTTTAAGACCCCAGGCGCCACTCACCAAAGTAGGATGCAGAACATTTTCTTAATAAGCTTTGTTATGCCAGCTGACCTAGATGTCCCATGATAGCATGGTCCCCAGACCCCTACCCCTGCTACTCTGTCCCTCAAAGTGTTTGATTGTATTCAGGAAGCTTCTTAGCTTTGGTTTAGTCCAGTTGTGCTGACTTCCCCTGTAGTGTGTGCTGTCCTTCCTTTCACCTAAGATAATTCTTATCTAATCTCTGGTTAGTAAATAACCCTCCCCCTCCCTCCCCACCTTCGTAACCATCAAAGAATGTTTTCTTCTGTGTTTAAACCTTTTCTTGAGTTCTTATAATAGTGGTCTTATACAATATTTGTCCTTCTGT